GTGGCTGCTGCCAATTTTTTCTATCTCACCATGACTGCACGGTACTTTACAGGATTAAAGGATATAAAGGATATTGAACTCCAAAGCCCCTTATTTCCTCCAGAAAGGAGAAAAGGACTTTCCCAGAAAACATTTTGCTTCGCTCTGTCAGGCTCCAAACTTTGGACTGGGTAGTTTTATAATGCTTTATGACTTCTTCCAAGTGAGGAATGTTCTTCCTGCTTTTATGAGGAGTAATTTTTTTTTAAAAAAGGTAATTAAGAAACAGGTGCAAGGCTATGGTTAAGGGCAGAGGAGGATCTGGAAGTCTTAATGGACTGCTGGAGGAATTTGAGCTTCATATGTTGCTGTTCTGCAGAAAAAGACTTGCACAAAAACTCAAGGCTATGTTTTTTTTTCCTTCTTTTTTTCCCAAGATAGAATAACTTTGAAAGGTAATAAATGCAAAGAGCAAAGCTGGGATATTGTTGGAAAGACACTCCACAATGTTAATCTAAAGCTGGAACATTTTTTTTCCACTGCAGACAAAAGATTTGCTTGGAATAATAAGAGCACAGCTGTTAAGAAAGAAAAACAAGTTTTACAGTTAAACAACCCCAGAACTGAGCAATAATCAGATCCAGCTCTGAAGAATGGTGCTTAGCTAATTTAACACCTCCTTTCTATTTTTAATCACTGCTATATTTGTTATTTACTCAATTAAAAAAAATATTTAACAGTTTGCTGGAGACAACTACCAAGGGACGGCCGGTTTTCTACTGAGATGCTAGAGTTGTATGGAGGGTTTCTTTCAGGACAAAGGCTATGAGTTCCAAATCAAGAAACACCTCCACCCCCTCCACCCCACCCCCACCATCTTAGAGTGTTGGGAAATAACTGCAATGCTGTTTATGAAATACTCTCATTCTAGGTAGGAATCACGATTAGAATCCTACCCAGAACATGCCAGGTCAATCAGAATCATTGGTCCAAAGGTGTTACAGGAAGAAATACCTAGGTGAGTCAGCAAATGTATAGGTTACAGGGAAAGTAACATTGCCCAGGGGGGAGGGCTTACTGCTATAGTCTACTGCAGTGATGGCGAACCTTTTAGAGACCGAGTGCCCAAACTACAACCCAAAAGCCACTTATGCATCTTCGAGTGCCGGGTGAGTGTGGCCCATTAGGTGGGCGTGGCCCATTGGGTGGGCGTGGCTGCGGTGGTAATGGCAGACTGGGTGGGACTAAAATGTTCATCAATCAATTCCAACTTTGCAAGATCTTTTTTTCCCCCGCGAGAAGTTGAAATTGATGGATTGAACCTTTTTTGTTTTTTGTACACGATGGTGGAGGCCTAAAGCGAAAAAGTTTTATAAAACCCAGCTGAAGGCCTAGGTCTGGGGTGACGGCGCGCGTGCCCACAGAGAGGGCTCTGAGTGACGCCTCTGGCACCCGTGCCATAGGTTCGCCACCACTGGTCTACTGCCTACTCCATTCTTCACCTGCTATAGCTGATAGGGGTTCACAACTCAAATATATGTTCTTATATAAAGGCAGCTATCTGTCAATCTGCAGTGCCGTGAAAGGGAGAGAGAGAGAGAGAGAGAGAAATTTTTTTTCCTGTAACAGAAATCATGAAGAAAAGCAGCATCTTTTAAGCAGACCTTATATGGCAGTGGCCTAAACTGGCAGTGACCAATAAATAGGGCACTGGTGCTCTCTCTCTCTCTCTCTCTCTCTCTCTCTCTCTCTCTCTCTCTCTCTCTCTCTCTCTCTCTCTCTCTCTCTCTCAATCATCTATCTATCTATCTATCTATCTATCTATCTATCTATCTATCTATCTATCTATCTATCTATCTATCTATCTATCTATCTATCTATCTATCATCTAAATTTATATGCTGCCTGTCCAGAGGAGGAGACACAAAAGCTTATCCTCTGTTGAGCTTTGGTTTTGCCGAAAGAAAGGAAGCAAGGAATCACTTTTTCATCCCACAATATGGGCAACTCAGGAACAAGAAGACTCTTATCTATGGACTCTTCTGGCTTAGCCATACAGCCGTGCTACTTCCTATTAGCTTTCTGGACAAAACTATCTACCTACTTTGTAGATGCAGACCTTAGCCAAACACCTGATAAGTCAGCTGAGGTACAGAATAATTCAAATAAGAATTAATAGGCACTAAAAAGATAAACAAATGAAGGACATTATTTTTCATGGTCATCATAACAAATAGCCTGATAATGAATTGCAGGTGTTAATTTTGGTACCCGCATTTTATATATATAAATCTGTGGGTTAGCAACTGGGTACAGGCATTTCCACACTTGATTTCCACAGTTCCGCTGTGCCAGATGCTGCTGAATGATTCAGGATTGCGCTTATGAAGCACTGTAGGAAGTAATTTGTATAATTAACAATCGTCCTCATTTAAAATATTTTCATCCTCCTGATTTCTGATGTTTTCTACTTTATAGAGATTAAATTATATTTGAAAATAATTACGATTAGCATGGTACTAGTTCAGTGGTTCTCAACCTGTGGGTCGGGACCCCATTTGGGGTCGATCGACCATTTCACGGGGGTCGCCAAGCAAGGCTGTCCGCCATTTTTTCCCCCTTTTCCGGCGGGTGCCTTACCTCCCTTGGGCTGGGCCAGCTGGTGGTCGGCCTGCTCCGTCTCTGCCGCTTGCCAGCTATGCCTCGGCCGGCGCAGGGGGCGGAACCACGCATGCGCGGCGCTCCCGGGCAGGGAAAGTCCTCGACTTATGACCGGTTTAGTCCTCGACTTATGACCGGTTTAGTCCTCGACTTACGACCGGTTTAGTCCTCGACTTACGACCGGTTGGGGTCGCGGCATTAAAAAGGTTGAGAACCACTGTACTAGTTAAATTGCATTGCTGGGTCAAAGTGTCATAATTACTATCAGCCAGATAGAATTAATTTCCAAAACCTTCGGAAATTACACTTTACTTCTGGCAGATTTCCAGGAAGCCACAGTGGACTGAAGATGGGTCTTTGTAAAGTGGCACAAAGACCATCCAATGAAGGGCTCACTTCCTTGGAATTCCTCTCTGGAGCAAGAACCGCCCACAAATGTTCCATTCAGAGGTTCCCCATGAGGAGATCATAAGACATTGGTCTGCCGTGGGCTTGAGGGCCAGGCCTAAGCTGCACTTTTGGTGCCTTCAGATGGATGCTTCCTTTCTTAACCACCTTAGGAAATTGCTTGTTAATGGCTTTTTGATTGTTAAGGATCTTCAGAAGAGCAAGTTTCATTACATTGGATGAGTTTCCTTCTATCCTTGATGGAAAATGTTTCATGCACATTTAAGGACTTTAAAAAGATTTTTTTTTAAATTTTGGATAAACAGCAAAAAGGTAACTAGAATATCGTGCAGAAGAGTAGCACAACCTGGGAGAAGAGTTAAAAGAGGGATCAGCCTAGAATCTCTACTTGTGGGACATTATTTGAAGGGATTAGAAATCAAACTTTTTTAAAGTTAACAGAAGGAATATAAAGTGGATTTATTTGATTAAGGTTAAAATATACATGTTATTATTCATGTATAACATTCATGTTACATATGCTATTATAGCTCTTAATAAACTTCCGATCAGAATGACAAGATGTTATAATTCATGTATTAATAAGACATGAGATATGGGAAGAAGACATATTTTACTGAAATATCAGAGAATATGATAAATTACTATTGTTATTTGTACTTATCTGGAGGGAGAAAGGAATAATTTCTTTGTATAGTTTTATTTTTTTATTATATATTTTTCTTTTTCTCTGCACTTTTTCTTTTTTATATTATTGGCTTGTATTCATTTTTATCTTCTATCTATCTATCTATCTATCTATCTATCTATCTATCTATCTATCTATCTATCTATCTATCTATCTATCTATCTATCTATCTATCATCTATCTATCTATCAAACTTATATAGTCACCCATCTCGTAAAAGATGCTTCTGAGTGGTATACAACAGCAAAACAAGTATTTGTAAACTTTAATAAAAATATTATTTTAAAAAGTGACTACCGTTTATTTCTTGCAGTAGCTTACACAGAAATGTGTATATCTGAAGAAAAGATTTGGTTTTATGGCAATTGATGTAAATAGGTCTATTTTATGCAAGGGTGAGGAATAAGGTAGTGTGAATAATGAAATATCAAGACTATTGGAATGGATACATTTCTTTCCTACTCTTGGTGCCTATAAAAAGAAGCAGAGCAACTCGGTTAGAGGTAGAATTAGCTCTTCAGGCTGCAGACACAAGAAAAATATTGATTTGTGGGAAGCTCCAAACAGGCACAGAAAAAGCTGGGGAGATGATCATTACCATGTAGGGCAATTTCTGGATAAAGGAAGCTCCAAAAATGTGTTATGCATCAGGAAAGTGCACCAATTAGTACACTCAGCCCTTCTTGCTGCTTGCTGGCATTTTTAATTCCAAGAGTGGATGGGGCTCTGCTTGTTTTCAAGGCCCAGTTTCTGGCATGCCGCGGACCGGTACCAGTCTATGGACCAGGGTGCCTAGGCAACCCATCAATGAGCAGAGACTCACCAAACTGTCCCCTGCTGACTTTCCTGTGTTTTGCAGTCTCTGAGCATTCTCAATTAGGAGGGAGGTGGTAGTACTCCCGGGACCAATGATAGAAAGAAATCCTTAAAGTAGTAACAGCTGCTAGTAGGCAGGCCAAGGTGGGTGGGTGTGCTGTATGTGGAAAAGAATGTGCTTCTTAGCCATGTACACTCAATGTACACAGGCAATGATAATGTTTCAAGAAACACTGAGAGTAGAGGCGATAATTGCCTGAGGTTTGTCATCACAGGCACAGGCAACCAGATACATCCCATTCGTAACTTCCCAAATCTAACTTCCAAATCTGAGCAGATATACTGAGCAGATAACATGGAATGGCTTTTCTTCATATACTTCTCATGCTTTTATAGTACTGAAAACAGGTCACAAACTGTTTTGATTAGAAAGATATACTGGGGTTACCTGCACTTTCATTTCTCGATCTGTATCCCAGATTCGGATAATGCGCACATCTCCGGAAGTCATGAGAAGTCCGGTTTCTTGTTCCCAATCCACCACCATTCCTGCTCCTGGGAAAAGACAAAGCACAGCACACATTATTTTTTTAATAAATACGCAGACCCAAAGAGAGTTAACACTCCTATATATCTGGTTCCCAGTTCTGAATTCTGCTAGAATTAAATGGCTGCTCTGAAAATCCTATGGAAAAACAAGTGGATTCCTGGATCTGGGCAAATAAAAATGGATCTACGATAAGCATCATCTGCTTCTTTTAAATTTCCCTCATTCGATTTCAACTGTGGTGTATGTAGTAGGAATGGTAAATGAGATATCAAAATAGCCTGCTGACAATTTAAGTCAGACTATATCTCATTTCAGATATAAAGATTTGCACCAATGTAAGTTAGAAAGAGAACAAAGCCATAAAATGAGTATGTTGTCAAAAGGAAAACTGTGAGGAGCTGCAGTGTGGCGAAGGAAAGAAGGCAAAGGAAAGCGGGTCCAAAATTAGAGCAAGAGTATTTGACAAGCCTTCCTTGTTTTGCTAGGCAAATGAGATAGCAACAACATTTTCTATTTTCCATATGAGCCATTGACAGAGATTAAACCAGAGAATAATGCAAATACTCAAAGAGCAACCAAATGTTTCCTCATTTTTTCCCCTTAGGGTTCCTACAAGATGCTAGTCTTTTAAATAATAATAATACCTATTTGCAAGCTACTTTGCATGTCATTTCTAAATAAAAGGTAAGTTCTTTTTATTTTATTTGTGCCTCTGAATCAATGTTGATCCCTAGCATCTGCTCGGACTAATCTCTGCAGTTTTTGTTCGCAAGATTTTGGAAATGGTTTGCCATTACCTCTTTCTTAGGAAGTGGGACAGGATGAGAACTCACAATCTGGTTTTTAGCCTGCTGTCTTAACCGCTACACCCAGCTGGCTCAAAGAAAAAGTAAACCCTGCATTTAAATTGGTCAAAACTCTTTTGTCAAAGTTCACTGGTTTTTTTCAGTTGAACCTAGCCACTAGTGAACCTAGTCACTAATTCAACAGAACTGACTTCTGTCCTAATTCAACAGAACAGAACTGACAGAACAGAACCTGGCATACTGAACTGAACATTTATGTAATGGATTATTTTGGATGGTTGCGTTTAAACCAGAATGTTATGTTTTCTGAATATATAAAGGAAAAATATCTATAGAACTATCCATATTCATTTATTTGTCCAGCTTGAATTTTGGGGGGGGGGGGATTTGGACTCTAGGGTCATGTTGGCATTGTAAACCTTACTTCATAGTTTACACTCCTGGTGCAGAGGGAAATTTAAATGAGTAAATTCTATTTCTGAGGTTGCTGCAATACTGAATATCACATCTTTTAGTTCCTGGTTGAATGCTATGACTCAGAGAGTGAGCAGATTCTCAGGCATCAACGTTTTTGCTTTCAAGGAAACATAAAGCTCAGAGACATTGCACAGTTCTAAAAAAAAAAAGAATGTATTTTGCAGAAGGGATAATGCTCCAAAATCCACATCCAAATCAAATTTAGACAAATTGGCCTAGCTAGAAAAAAAGAACCCAGAACATTTACAAATAAAAGTGACTGAAATAATTGTATCATAGTTACGATTAAGCATATGCCAATTAAGAACATAAGTCTGGAGAAAACTGTTCTATGGTGGCACAGGAATGCTACAAGGATTCCTTCTCCACCTTTTTGGTACTACCTAGGCTGCTATTACACGTAGGTTCACCGGCGAGGCTTTTCTCCTAGGTAATAGGTTTATTTTTCCTCACACTGACATTAATACACTGAGAGTAAATGTTGAAAACTAAGCAGTGAGCCAGCATCACCAAGGATACCCAGGGCATCTGCATTATATGCAATAGCAGCCATGAACCTGGGAAAATGAGAAAGTTTTCAATGACTTTGACCTCTAGAAATTTCCCATGAGCTCCAACTTGCTTAATGTGAATATTTTCCTTTCAAGTTTATAGCCTGCTGTGGGGAATCTACTGTCTTTTGTTCCCTGGTGGAAAAGCCCCCAACATATTATTCATATCTCATATTGTCTAATATTGTCAAACAAATATGCATGAACCTGATATTACAATGTGCAGCTACATGGTTCAAAGCACAGAAGAAATGGGTGTCTTGCATTAGTACAATATTCTTCTTGTTTCTAACCAACAAAATCCAAGAGAATTTGAGTTTCCATTCCCATATCTAGCTAAGCTTCTTGGCAAGCAAATCAGGCTGTCATAAAAAAAGGCTTTGGAAGAGGAGATGATTCATAATGGTCTCTTCTGCAATTCTACAACACAGTAATGTCCTGTTAATTTCTCCGTCACATCCACCAGGACATTTTCAGAAAGACAATGCAAAATACTAGCTATGATTGGTATTCCCTCTCACAGCAAGAAAAGGCCCACATTTCTTGTCAGAAAATCAAACCAGACTCTGGTATTTGCCAACTGTGACACCTGAAATGGCTCCCAAATGTATAGTGTAGTGGGGAGAGTAGAAATAAGAGTGAAATCATACAATTGGATTATTTTATGCCAGTGCCACCAAAACACTGAACTGATGAATTTTTGCAATATAATAAATGGCAAAGAAATGCAGTCTATCTTTCTTTGAATTACATGTCATTATAAAGGTTATAAAGAAAATGCATCTTTCTATCCTGCTTCCTTTCAGTCTGTAGCCAGAGCCATCACTAACACTGGGATATTTTGTTATAGACAATTGTGCAAATGCAAGACCTTTGATTTGCTCCTGACAGCTTTTGAATCTAATAGAAGAAATAGAACTGAGGGGAAAGGAAAGGACAAGTTAAATTGACAGTTTAGATCTCTATCTGAACACCCAAATTGATTATTCCTTTAGCTTCCCTGGCAGCTCTGAAGAATGCAAGAGATTTGAAGCGAGTATGAAACTAATACTTTGAATGATAAGCATTTTCCAAACAGTTTGTGTTCGCCATCTTGTTTATGGTCTGCATGACAAAATAAATCCAGCAGGGGGCTTTTCCAGTTTTAGCAAGCAGCACTCTAGCTTTCCCATCGTTCCCATTTAGGGGAAGGCTCCTTTACATTTGCAATTGTAGTCCAGTCTGCAAATACTTAGGAGTCTATGGTTGTTTTTGCATGAATGTATAAGCAAATTAAATGAATAAAATATTAGCAGAGGTGAGAGTAAGGACCTTGCCAACCTATCCCGTTTCTGGATGCAGGAGATTCTGATAAGGATGAAATTCAATGAAATTCCTCAGTGTGTTCTGCTCCCTCATAACCAACTTTGCCACTCTCTCCTTTGAGTTGCATGAAAGATGTCAGCACAACCTTTATCTTGCAGACTCACAGAAATCTGAGAAAGCAGAGATAGACAATGCTCTTTTGCAGTTCAGTTCCTCCAAAGATACTGGGGCTGGCAATGTTACAGAGGGTTGGTGCCTAAGTAAGACTTTGGTTAGTTTTAGCCTGATGCTGAATTAACATCCTCCTATTGTAGTGCTCCTTCTATATCAGGAATGACATCAATTCTGGAATATAACTTAAATTCTTCTGCTTAGACAGCACTTTCTATCTTGATTATTAGACTTTATATGACCAAAGTGGGCTTTCTAAGATGCTTCTGGTTTCCCTAATGAATATTAATCAAGACAAAATGAATATGGTGCCAGAGTTTACTAGAGTTTGTTTTTGTCAAACTGCATGTAGCATAGAAGTTTTTCTGTTGCTGAAAATGGAGCATCCTTCCTAGGCTTTCAAAGTATCTAGAAGTGACTATAATGATGCTTTTCAAAGAGCCTTCATGAATCTGCGGAACCATTCTGGTCTCTTCTCTTTACAGGAATGATGTATGATGTTTTTATTCTGTCATTTATCTTCCTGACTTTGACAATAATTAAATGAAAATCTACTCCTGCTGAAACCTCACTTTCTTCGTCTGTAAAATGGGTTTATAAAGCAATTCTTTCTCTCCTGTGAGATGGGTAGCACACAAATAAATGTTCATGAACAAACACTGTTGAGAAAAAGTCTTCTCTTGCAAGACATATTGGTATGTAAAAATCTATTTTAAAAAAGCACATAAAAAACAAATGCCTATGCAAATATAAAACATTGCATAATTCTGGACACGTGAGAATAGTTATTTTTATCTTTTTTAAAAATAAAAGAAGCAAAGATCCAAACTCAGGGGTTACACTGAAAATGTAACAGTCCATGACCAAAATGCCTGTCTATATTTGTATTTAGTTCTGTTTTTTTATATCCTTCCCCAGTTTTATCCTTTGTCGATAGTGTGTTCTGGATTCTTAATTGCTTTTTTTCATGGTGAGCAACAGAAACCACAAGGGGAAAACTCTAAATGCAACAAATAACTAGAAGAAAAATAATTCTCAGACATGGCTTACATTTATTACATCCCACTGTGTTTCTGAAAACAAATCTCTTTCTTAGTTAGGGTCCTTCAGCAAGCTACACGGGAAACTGTTTGACTTTCTCATTGTACAGTCAGACCATCTTACTTTATAAAGAAGATACTGAAGGGAGAAGCCCTGAGTAGGGCTAGCAAAATCTAGATACCCAACACGGCAACCCAGAACCAAAGGTCTTGGCATTGCTTCACTACTTGCTAGCAGTCACCTGAATTTTGGTACTTCATATCTGATAGAACCAATTAAAAGAATCTTCTTCTATAGCATGGGTGTCAAACCTGCTTGTCAAGTGACGTGTCGCAATGTAGCACAACTTTTTTCCCCTTGCTGGAGTTGGGATGGGCGCGGCTTCCATGTGATGCATTCAGCCAGTGAGCCGGCAGTTTGACACCCCTGTTCTATAGATCCCCAAATGACCAAAGGGAAGGAATCCTGATTTTCTTGAAATGTGCTGAAACATAAATGCAGCCCATTTTTAATGGTTACTCTCGTGATAATTTGCTACTAAATTAGCAAATAAGATGATGCTATCCTTCTACTGTTACAGTATCTTCTGGATTGGTGGCAGGGAATGGGAGTGGGTGACAGGGTGTTTCGGTGGATGTCTTCATTTTTCTGCAG